GCATCCAGATTCAGCCGCTGTTGAAACTGATCAGTTTCAGCAGCAGCTGAATCTGGACGCCAGTTCCGACTTACATACAGATTCAACTTAAGAACAAACTTACAGTCCCTATCTTGTACATAACCCGGGGACTGCCTTAGTGTCTATGCTCAGAGGTGATTTCTCTTATATTTTATCAGTATAATTATTTTTTCTTACATTAAGCAAAGAAAGTTTCCAACAAAAAAAGTTTTTAAAATGACTTTCAGTTATAAATACAAACAAATTAGATAAATATTTTCCATCACTGACCTTGGCCAAGAATGCTAAGTCTAACAGTGAAATTCACAAAAGCCCCACTGAAAATAGCTGTGCTGCAAGTGTTGCTTAGATTTGGCTGTCCAAACATTTGTAAAAAGAAAGGGAAAGCAACCTGAAAAAACAGGTTTTAAATGTACACTGTAATATTTTCAGTGTGTGACTATCTCAACTACTACTTATGTGTTCCCCAGTATTTTGGGGTTTTGTTTTTTTTCTGGAGCTAAGATTTAAAAGCATTTGAAAATTCTAGTATTATAAGGTATATTACTCAACCCAGTTGGATGAAAATATTCAGCTAGAATCACCACATGACATGCAATCAAACTTTATACTGCTACCAAATCTTGTTCTTTTTGTTTCTGGTTGCCAATTTAGAGCAAGGTTGTGACTTGCCCTAATCACACCTGCACAAGGGAGTGGAAGGTGATTTAAGATACTCCGGCACAATCTAGCATGAGCAACTCATCTGGCAGGTTACAACACAGGGGACAGCTGTTTCCATGATGCTACTCCCCTTCTAGAACATCTGAGTAGGAACACGGAATGGGAGGGTCCTTGACTCCATCCACATATGCACCAGCTAGCACAGCTGAGCAGGCACACATAATCTGTGCCTGGTAGAGGGCTGACATGGATACTCTGAGCAAGAGGAGTGGCCAGAAACCACATTAAGACACTCATTCAATCTGGCATCTGGTGTAACTATGTGCTGCCCCTTTAGGATTGCCAGACGGTTTCAACAAAAATACCGGACACACATGACATTACATCAGAATCTGCATTACATCTTATTTAGAAAATACCGGACATTTATATTTTCTCATGTATATTGTCTCAATTGGTTTCCCGAACAGAAAGCTCAAATACTGGACTGTCTGATTCAAAACCGGACACCTGGTAACCCTATGCCCCTTGCACAGGCCTGGGGCAAAGCCAAAAGTTAGCCTACAGTAAACAGTTACGCTCATCATAAGCACATTGCATCAGAGGGCATATTTAAGGGGGTGATGCTGCATGAGAAGGGAGGAGTCCAGTTCCACATGACAGAAGACAGGGCTGAAGATGGAAAAGACAGGAGAAGATGCTGAGCCTAAAATGTTGACTAGGCCTCAGAGATTCTGAGAACAGCCTAAACAGGTTGGCTATGTCTACACTGGCAGCTTCTTGCACAAGAACAGCTGTTCTTGTGCAAAAACTTGCTTGTTGTCTACAGTGCACGTGTGTTCTTGAACAAGTAAATTTACAGTATCGCGTTGTAAAACAGGGCTTCTTCCGGAAGAGTTATTCCTCTCCCCATGAGGAATAAGCCCTGTTGCGCAAGAGCTCTTCCACATGAGGGCAGTGTAGACAGGCAACATGAATTTCTTGTGCAAGAAGCCCCTATGGTTAAAATGGCCATCAGAGCTTTCTTGAGGAAGAGGGCGTCCACACTGCCATGGATGCTCTTGCGCAAAAGCACATCTCTTGCGCAAAAGCACATGCCAGTGTAGATGCGCTCTTGTGGAAGACTTTCTGCTCAAGAACTCTTCCGCAAAATGGTTCTTGCGCAAGAAGCTGCCAGTGTAGACGTAGCTGCTGTGTCTTGGGACTGTTAGTTATGTTTAAAAATCTGTAACACTACAGTGCTTTCCTAAAAGTGACTATGATTAAGAAATTCCTTTATGAGGCCTGTATCCCTTGCTTGCCTGCTACATTTTTCTCTGAAAGAAGGTCATCATGCCTACAGCAAGGTGGAGTTCTGGGGCACTGTAACTAAACTATCAGGGGCTTAAAGGGGTGATGCATGCTGGTAGTTTACTGTGGCTGGTTTATAGAGTCCCATGTCCCAAAGAAGGGTGTCAGGCATAAGCTCTTCATCCAGGAGTGTGTCTTAGAGATAGGAACAGTGACTTTGCTCTGCCCCAACCCAGTTGGCCTAGAATGGAATCTAGTAGTTCGCACCATTCAAAAAAAAAAAAAAAAGAAAAGATGAGAGAAAGGCCATTTATGGGAGGCAACATAGCTTAGTGGACAGATCCGTGTGCTGGATGAAACCTGGGTTCTCTTCCTAGTGCTTCTATTGGCTTGCTAAGGGTACGTCTAGACAGCAGTGCGATTTCAGGATACTTCAGGTATCCTGAAATAGCTATTCTGCATCTTTTAAGCAAGCCCATTATTTCAAAATATAACGGGCTCACTATTCCAATGTCCCTGTAAACCTCATTCCATGAGGATTAAGGGATGTTTCAGAATAAGTGGTTTATTTTGAAATTTGGTGCTGTAGAGACAGTAGTAAATTTTGAAATAAGCTATTTTGAAATTAACTCAAAATAAGCTACGCAATTTGCTCAACTTGCATAGCTTATTTCGAGCTAAGGGTGCAGGGTAGACACACGCTAAATGACCCTAAGCATGTCACATCAGTGTCCCATGCCTCAGTTTTCCCATTTATAAAATGGGATAAATAATATTGATCTTCTCTGTAAAATGCTTTGAAAGCTACTCATAAAAACGACTATATAAAAGCTAGACATTATTATCATCTGACTGGTTTTTGTTTAAAAAAATTAAGTAAAGAGATGGAACATTTCACTCTTCATATTCCTTGATTTGCTCAAGACAATATCTATGTCATTTTGTTATAAAGTTCATTTTAATGAGCACAGTATATAAGTTGCCTCATATGGTATATCCCTGCACTGTGTGGGGCCCCATGAGTACTTTGTGAAGACATAGGAATCAGCCTAGAATCACTTGCTGGACAGGGTCATCGTCATAGTCAGTTTTACTATGTTGTCAAACCTCTGAGAAGTGATATTGACAATTAAAGTCTCATCTCTTAATGTAACTGAGTTCTTTGGGATACTTTTTATTAAAACCTGATAGCATCAGTGGCATATGTTTTAATACCCAGTGGAAGTGAATAGTATAAACTATTGCACACTGACAGATCACTGTGGTAAACCACATACTTTTATTATTTTTATTTTTTTAAGTACAAGATCTAAATTATTTTTAGGCCTGATCTTCCTTTTTTCCTGCAGAACAGTAGTTTTCAGAAGCTGAATCCTCCCTATTAACAAGTGAAATAAGAGTTTAATGGGAAACTTACCAACATACAAATTGCCAGACAGTGTGTAAATAAAAGATGTCCATCCTGAAATATAATCAAGCAATATTAAAGGTTAGCATTCATAATCTTAATGTACTCGTATTTAATACTGCATGGAATTATACTGATACTATATGCTTTGGTTTCCACGATACATTCCATAGTGGCTCTTGTAATTATATAGATTCATTCCAATTTAAAGTGACACTACAATTTAAAAGCTCGTATTTTCATCTGCAAATTTTGTATCTCCTAAAAGTAATAACTGAGATTACTAGAACTGGAAACAATTAGATATTTTTTCCTTTTTTTTGTGTGTGTGTGATCACTTTTACTATTTCTTCTGCATAACTATCCAGTTTCTTCTATTATTTGTGCAGAACTTTAGCAAAGAAAGTGGACAGAAATATCACTAAAAATAACCACAAAAATATGTTCAAAAATAAAAACAAGGTGAAAGTTCTCCAATATTACTCATTCTGGAAAAAAATTCCCATGTGTCTGTTATGGGGCACATTTTTATCCCCCACATTAATTTAGGCTTCTGCACAATTGTTGTTTGCATTGGTGTTGTAGCTCTGTTGGTCCCAGAATTTTAAAGAGAAAAGGTGAGTGAGGTACAGTAATTCCTCATTTAACATGACAGATGCATTTCTGAAAATGTTCATGCTAAGTGAAAACGTGCTATGCGGGGTCAATTTTCCCATTAAAAATAATGGAAAAGGTGGGGGTTGTGTTTCAGGTGGTAGTGGCGAAGTTAATTTTTTGTTGGTGGGGGGTCAACATCAATATTAGATGATGAAGATGGAACAGGTCTATCTTGTTCATCAGCTGATTTTTTTTTTTTAGATTGAACACAACAAAAACTTTTGATAGAGAGCTGCTTTTGCTGCTTTTTATTTTTTGTTGTAAAGTTGCTTGTAGCAAGATATGGCGTTTTCTAAGCTTTTCACTACTTTTGATCTCCGTTCATGATGGGGATCATTCTCATAAAAAATGTTTATTACATCACCTATAAACACAAGTTGCCACGGTTTGTTAAAACACAAAGATAAACTCGTGTATTCATCTGCTCATGCATATTACCATTGTTTTTGCCAACTTATACTGCTGTGCAAAGCAGTCCACCACTTGATTATTTTCATGTTATTTTGGGGACAGTTGTGTTATTCAAAAAACGTTCCCTAAAAATAATCATGCTATTGCAAAAATGTGTTAAGCGGGCATGTGTTAAACAAGTAATTACTGTAATATCTTTTATTGGGTCAACTTCTGGGAATGAGAGAGACAAGCTTTTGAACCACACAGATCTCTTCTTCAGACAGAAGAAGACAGTATCTCACTCACCTTGTCTATATAAAACTGAACAGTCCTAACACTTTTTGGTAGCACAAAGAATCTGGAATATCACATTTGTCCCTAACAAAGAAAATGCCATTTTCTCTATGCTTACTTCAGTTCCAAACCAAGTCTCGAATTCATACAATCCAATGCAAGTCTGAATGTGATCTGTACAGCATCGCTGATTCCCTGCTTCTGGACTTAGGGTACGTCTAGACTACATGCCTCTGTCATCAGAGGCATGTAGATTAGGCTACCAGACATAGGAAAATGAAGCAGCAATTTAAATAATCGCCGCTTCATTTAAATTTACATGGCTGCCGCGCTGAGCCGACAAACAGCTGATCAGCTGTTTGTCGGCTCAGCGCGATAGTCTGGACGCGCGGGTGTCGACATCAAAGGTATTTGTCGACCACCCAGGTATACCTCATCCCAGGATAATTTAAATCGCCGCTTCATTTTCCTATGTCTGGTGGCCTAATCTACATGCCTCTGGTGACAGAGGCATGTAATCTAGACGTACCCTTAGTTCTAAACTATCTAGGACATGAACCAGCTCATTCATTTATGGTCATGCCTAGCACAATGGGGGCTGAGCCTATAAATAATAATAATGGACCTACTGAGTGGCTTTTTCTCCTTGTTGTTAACAACTCAGCCACAGTTACAATGGGTCCGGATAACCATACATTAAACCAATATCCTAATAAAATGAGGATCTAATAAATCTGTTAGTGGGTATCTGCAAAACCCATAAGGATTATAAGATGGCACCGAAGATACTAACCCCTCTGAGACAATTTCCTAATGTTACCTTAATATTACTAGTTTGAAACAAGTAAAAAACAAGTGATACAAATTTTCAACATGATCATCTCCTCTCCAAAGAATGCTACTACAACATGCTGACATCCCAAGGTTAAGATTGTGTGTGAATGTATGTTTTGTCTGAGAAATGCAACCTTAACCCTGCAATTCCTAGTTTTCTCGTGTTTGATCTTGGCTCTTTATTTTACCTTTATACAGGACATGCAAAGTGGGCCTCACCTCAGAATTTCTAACTTTTCATGTGGGGCATTTAAACTACCATGGTCAGGAAGAGCCTGCTGATTATTAGATGCACCCACATCTTAACACTGCACCCACATCTTAACTCTTCCTTAATTAAGCTGTTTATATTGGAATTCGAGGAAGCGTGGTACCCTTGAAGTCTTCTTAACACGGGGCTCACTCCTGCCACTTCAAGATTCCATTATCCCTGAAGAAGCACTCAGCACTTTACAGGATTGATCCTACAATCCTGCCTTTGGCATACTCTGATTGGTTCCTACCTTTAGTTTTGGAAGAACTCCTCTAAATATTTAGCAATACAATGAAATTGGTATATACATTCTGGATTTGTTTTTCTTTTCCTCTTATATTCAATCTGAGTGACTTCATCCTTGAAAAAATGTTTTAAATAACTTTGCTGCATGATCAGACAGGTCACTGACTAATTACGGAATTCACAAAATAACCCCACCAGATCATTTACTTCACCTGATTGTAAACATTTTAACTGCATTAAAATTAGTTTTTCCATACTTTCCTGTCAGCCCTCTCAGATGTTAGCTTAGCTTAAATAATTTTCAGTGTGTTTGTTCTTCGCCTTTTGTTTTGGCTGCATAAAGTCTCTGAGAAAATACCACAAATTCCATACAACTATCATTGGAAGGAAAAGCATTTAACTCTTTATTTCATAAGAGATGTTTTTGATTCCCTTTCCTGGTTTGGAAATGTAAATTCCAGAATCATGTTCATTTTATTACTTTCCTCACAGTAATTCTGTATTAGCCTCAGAGCTTTTTCAGTCTTCTCTCCTTATCTACTAGGACAGTTTAATATTGTATTGGATCCTTTCTCTTTGTGCAATGCTTCTAAACACCTGCAGCCACGTGCTCCATTAGTATCATTTCAGTAATTTATACTTTATAAGGAATTGGCCCACTAATTTCTTCAAAGTGTTCCTAGCTTTTTCCTCATTTCTTTTCTGTAAGACAAAATGATGAATTTATCCCTAGTAAGTATTTTCCCTATAATCCATTCCAAACCCATGAATAACATTTTTACCACATACTTTCGTTTCAAAGCCTTCTTCTATTATTAGCTACACTTGATTGATCATCTCTACCATGTAAGTCACAAGGGAGAGTAATTAAATGTAAGGATGCCTTTCTTGTTGTGTAATGATCTTTCACTTTAATGTTACAGGAAGAAATAATTACATTTAAGAGAAGTTGTGGTTTCTCATTTGAGATATATATACACTATTCTCATTGGTGATTGTATTAGAGACGTCTTATTCACATTCTTAGTAATTTCCTAAACTCAATAATTTGCATGGGTTTCCCAGTCATTAGTGTGAGTTAAAAAGGTTTATATTATTTTCAATTACTGATCAGATTCTTCAGTGTAGTGGTTAATATCCACTGTGTGTTATCCTGTAATTGGCTTTGCACAATGCAGCCAAGATAACATTGCTATTGAAACATTAACCTTCACATTTTTAGAGATTTTTTTTCCATTTGATTAACTTTGCAATGGTAACGCTGCAGTAACAAGGATTTTGTGAATAATTATTTTAAAATTCAATTACCAATAAACAAAATTAACACAGTGCTTCTTTTTGGCTCTATAATTACATCTGGCACAGGTGAGAAGCAAGGCTATTGGTCAGATTTACTTTTATCCCTGTAGTGGGAGAATCAGGCAACCTGTTAAGTTTTTCAAAAGAAAAAAAACACACCAAACTTTTCATAAACCCAATACACTTACATCACCTATCTATCTGAAATGCAGACTCTGAAAAAGCTGCTTGGTACAGTGCTTAGAGCAGTTACAGAATCAAAAGTTTTAGTTCTGATTCTACCACTAACCTTGTGTAAATTACTTCACTGACCAGTGCCTCAGTTTCCCTAATTTGTAAAATACTTGGAAATCTAAAAGTGGTATACACAAACTATTATTATGCTGGAGACTTGTTACAGCAGTAAAGCATGCCCCTCTGAAATACCATCTGGATTTTTCTTCCAAGTCTCCCCCCACCCCAAATTTAAAGAAAACATCTAATAGTACTTGCATGTGAACTACCGCCGAAAATAATTGTAAAAAAATCTACATCCCACCTCTTCCCGCCCCCTCTCCCAGGAATGTGGCCCTGAACACGCAGATAGTTGGACTCTGTTTATCAGTCTGTCATTAGGCTGGAAAAACATAATACATAAACTTCTGTTTTAAGGTCCCACCCCAAATTTAAAGAAAACATCTAATAGTACTTGCATGTGAACTACCGCCGAAAATAATTGTAAAAAAATCTACATCCCACCTCTTCCCGCCCCCTCTCCCAGGAATGTGGCCCTGAACACGCAGATAGTTGGACTCTGTTTATCAGTCTGTCATTAGGCTGGAAAAACATAATACATAAACTTCTGTTTTAAGGTCACTA